ACAAAATCATGGCCAACAGGTTCATAGAAAAAGAGCTGAGGTTGATACTTTAAGTTGCTTTCCTGTTTCTTCTTCCTTTTTGTTGAAAGACTCCTGATTTCTGTCCTGTAGCAACATTCCGAGGCAATGCATGAGTCACCGTTGGTTTGAATTTGCTGTGGTGACACCCTTTTCCCAGCCCCAGGCAGAGACAAGGGGACGTCCGGTGGGAAATGAGGGCAGAGAGGTGCATCACAGATGATCAGAGAAAGCCAGGGAGGGCGGACTAAGGATTCTGAACCTACTTGGAGTATACTCTACATTCACACGAAGTACTGTTACACCCCCAACTTAAAATGAGAAAAGCAAGACCTTAAAGTGATCAAAGTCACTACTAAGTAGATGAACTGTAATTTGAACCTAGGTTTTGTTTTCATTCTGCATTCTTTTGTAGTGTGTGGAACCCAAGGAACCTCCCCAGATGTCACTAAGGGCAAGCTAGTTAGAAACAAAAAATAATGAGGGCTAAATGAATTAGTCAATGAAAAAAATATCTAAGTGCTGCCAGGATGAGCAATCTACTTGTTATTAATAACAAAAAGATAAGCAGTACATAATCTAAATTCCAGCACTGAAAGAGGCAAGAGCAAACCACACTATTCTGTTCTCCTGTCTGTGCAAAGAGCCACCCCCCCATTACATGACTGAAGGTAACTGCTTGTTTTTATGACTTTAGACCATTAGTTTGATAAAAAACAAAGTAAGGCACACGAAAACCCTCTATTTATCAAAGTCTCAACATAAAGATACAATAGTATTGAATGCATGGGAAAAAGCCCACCACAACAAAACAAATTCTTGAGCTAATGCATTGAGCTGCTGGTTTGGTCAATGTGGCAATGCTGCTGCTTGCAGGTAGTGAGCACTGCTATGGGATGGTAGGGAGCAGCATTTTCCAAACCATGGGTTATAATCAATGTTCAAACAAAATAGAAAAAAAATCACAATAAAGGTAATATATAAGGTCAATGTCTTGTAGTACCTGAAACGTGTATATTCACCCACACAGATGCACACATCTACATATACAACCACACACACATACACAAACACAATGAATTACAAATATCCCGGGTTGTGGTATAATCCTTATTTCGCACTCTAGGATTAGTCAGAAAAGTCCAACAGTCATCGTTATCCAGGAACTGACTGACTGTCCGTGGCTGTGCTGTGTCTTTGCCCTCTCTGGAGTGAGAACAAATCATCAGATCCCTCTCTATCGGGGAGAGGGATCATTGCACCATTACTGTTCCAGACAGACTGAATGATATGTATTACATCATAGCCTGGAGAAAACTATGTGTGATTAAATAGTTAACATACAAAACCACAGTTGTTGCATCACAATACATACTGTAGCTTGGTTAACATTCTTAAAAGTATTCTTTTGAGTTTCCTAATTCACCCCAGGATGAATTCACTTCATTCCATCTTTATGCTGCTTTTTGTAAACCTTGGGAATAAATAGAAAAATAAATTAATGGAGAATTACAATTCTCCTTTTATTAAATTTTTACATCAACAAAAGTCAATCCAAGGATTCTGCTGCTTTTCCCAAATGAAGTCCAAGTCCCATTTGAAAATCACTGTATTAAATTGGAAGCATATCTCAAGCAATCAGATATCCATTATCAGTTCCACCGGGATAATAATCCTTGACTTTGGGAAGGAAAGTCTGGGGACTAGAAGAATATTACAAAGGGTGGCTGGCTGCAGTATAAGGTCTGGTGCAAAAGCAGTATTATCACTTGCTGGCTTAAATAAAAGCCCCTATTTTTTTCAGTTTGGCTTAGAAATTCAATGACAAACCATCCATAGTCTTACTATACAGTTTATGCCGGAGATCATATATTTTTAGTGCTGTATTTTACTTTCAAAATGTGTAAAATATATTTTATTCTTTGACTAAATAAGTGCCACTTCTGAGAATTTAGACCAGTGATATAATCCAAAGTAAGAAAACCAAAAATATATAGATATTTTTAGAGAAAGTTATCAATGTGAAACACGTGTGACACTAAAGATCCAACAGCTGGGTAATAGGTAAATAATCTAATGCGAATCTAGACTAGTATACTAGCTACTTACAATATTGCACTATTATTTGATAACTAGAAAGTGTATTTTAAATGAAATGTAGGAAAATCTCAAGACAAAAATGCAAACATTTGATAATTAAATTCGTTTTTATATTGGTATTGGGGATTGAACTAAGGACCTTGTGCTTGCAAGGCAGGCGCGGTGCCACGGAGCTAAATCCCCCCGATAATTAAATTCTTACTTGGCAATTTCTTATACTTTGACTTAGGACTAGACACGTGACATCTTTCTTCTGCACTAAAACGTTAATGACAGGTCTTCGATTTCACTTCAGTGCACAAGACAGGACTCGGCCTTCAGTCTTCTAACTGGGAGTGACACCTACTTTCACTCTATAATAGACTCTATGCAGCTCTGTAAATATTAAACACCGGTGTAAAAACAGAAGCACGCCTGGCTGAGGAACCTGTCCCGCGATATCTCGTGAGAGACTGACGGGACACCAAAAGCCCTGGCTCACTCATCAAGGTGCTCGGCGAAGCTGATGGGCATACAAGTGGTCCTCTGCTCCCTTTGCTTTTACATACATTTTTATACTTAATATTTTTATAGTGAGACGAAAATAACCTTTTTTGGGGGGATACTGGGGAATGAACTCAGGTCCTTGCACTCATGAATCAGGCAGTGAAACCACTGAGCTAAATCCCCAGCCTGAAAATAACATTTTTAAAGGGAGCTTGAATGTTCCTGGTGTCTTGACTGCTTATTGAGAATATACAGTGATTACATTTTGCTTCAAACTTTAGATTAAAATAAGGAATGATTTAAATGTGTTACTTCATAGCCTTTTTCTCGTTTCATTATTAAACTCAATCTGTTTCTTCTCTTTGTCATCATTACTTTATCATAATTATAATTTTCTATACATAGAATGAAAAAAATAGCCGAATAGGTTTAAGAGACATTAGGAGAACCTGGAGAGTCATCACTTGAAACCTTGGAAAGGTCACCTCAGCTAGCTCAGTCCTAGATTCAGGGTCAAACCAGGTTACACCAAGGATCCCTCCTCGCCACCTCTGCCTGCACACTGTGGCTGGCAGAACTAGGGAAGGTGCAGGGGTACTATAAATAGCACTGTTATTTATTTATGCAACAGAGTAACTACCATAAATCTTAGAAGCAGGAAAAGCTGATCTGCTTCTAGATTCACGTCTCTTCTGGTGTCTTGTTACTCTTTTCCTTCTTGTTTTTATCCTTTACCTAGATTCTAGAACATAAGCCTGAAAGCCTTAAGCAGAATCATTAAGTATTTTCTGACCTGTCTCTTGGATATACACAAAGAAAGAGGTGAGTCAGACACATGGAAATGCACTTTCAGTGGGCTCCAAGCACCTGTGGGACACATCAGCTGTGCCGGGCCTTGGGAAAGATAGATGGTGAAGCTAGGGTTTGGAATGAAATGGGGTGCAATTATCTGAAATACATAACCAAGTATCCCTTCATCTTTATCCATAGGTACAGAATAAAGCCAAACCTGAGTATGTGACTTGGCCATGAAAGGACAATTGGAATCAAGTTATGAGCCATTGGTTAGAATATAGCACAGAAGACCAGCAGCTGAAACAACCCTGGCAAGCTGACAGTCCTCAGACAAGGGGCTAGCTCAGGTGCGGTAATTTACGAGGGCTTGGCCCCTGGCTCTCCCACCATACGCTTTGTATCTGCTTCAGTCAGTGTCCTGAAATTCAGTGTGGGAGGCCAGTCTTCCATCGTAGTAAGAAATCACAAGGGTGGGTGGACAAAGACTATTGGTTCTACTTGCAAGAAGAAATTTTAATATATTCCCAGAATTTCTCAAAAGGGTTCATATCTACATGAATGGCTGATCTTAAATCAGGAGTGTGCATGATCCGTGGGCTGCCCTGCTGGGCTCAGTCCCCCAAGTCAGGGAGGAATTTACTGAACACACAAGAAATCTAATTTCTTTGAGAGATGATAATAACTGGACTAGACCAATTGCTTCTCATCAAAACCATGTAATAGTCTTCATTCTGGGACGACTCAGATTGTCTTCTCTTGGGCCAGCTAACAATTTCATTTTGCCTGGTTAGCCCTTTCATTCATGTAGTTTAAAGTACATCAGCAGCTAGCTCTTCCAATGTAGTTTTTCATTTTTATTCTTCTCGTTTCTACTTTCTATTCTTTCCCTTTGGGAGAATTTAAAAAATCAGGGCTTAGGTGGGTCATTCACCTACAGGATGGGATCGATGAGCCAGTGACGACCAACCAGAGTATGCCACGTCCAGGGATTGGTCTAGCAAGTCATGGAACCAAGCAGAACCAAGCAGAGTTCTCCCTGGGCCTTTTCAGTTGAGCTAAAATAGAAAATTTCTTCTTAAGGAACTGTTTTAGGCTGGGAATATAGCTCAGTGGTAGAGCACATGCTTAGCATGCAAGAAGGGCCAGGGCTGAACCTCTACAACACAAAAAACAAGAAAAAAATTTAAAAATGATTTTATACATATGCAAAAATAGTAAGAATGATTTATGAACTGTCCTGGCCTCTACCCCCTATTCCAACATTTACTCACTTATAGGCAATCTGAAAAATGATTAACTATCTTTCCACACTGGGCTGTAGGGCTATGAGGAGGGTGCTGAAAAGACATTATCCCGTCTGTTGGTAGTGAGAACCTGACTTCAAAATAAACTCCCAACAGAACACAGCAGAGCCTGAGGGTACCATCTGAGCTCCTTAATCCAGCCAGGCCTGAAGCCACCACCACCTCTGTACTTTTTATTTAAGCTGGATTTAGGAAGATTTCCCCTTTCTTGTGAAAAAGAACTTTAAAGAAACAGAAGTGATTTTTAAAGTATTAGGTTTATTTCTGATGTATTTACAGACTATAAACTTTAAGGAAAACATTTAAGGAAATAAAGGAAAAGGGGAGCTTGAAATGTATTAAAATCATCAGCATTTTGATTTTACTCTTCTAAAAGGATAATATCAGTCTCATTGGGATAGCTATTTACCAAAATTTTTAACTAAATAACTATCATTAAGAGATGAGAGAGAGAAATATTTCCATCCCTAAAAACATCCTTTCAGAAGAATCAAGTCCTGCATTTCTGCTTCTAAACTGTCCTCAAAGCAGAGTGAATGAATACAGCCCCCCGTGTACCATTCCTGTGCATCTCATGAACTACTTTCCTGGCGCTCCGCTCTTCACCACCCCATTTGCTAGCACAGTACTGGCATCCCTAAAAACATCCTTTCAGAAGAATCAAGTCCTGCATTTCTGCTTCTAAACTGTCCTCAAAGCGGAGTGAATGAATACACCCCCGTGTGCCATTCCTGTGCGTCTCATGAACTACTTTCCTGGCGCTCCGCTCTTCACCACCCCATTTGCTAGCACAGTACTGGCGCTTTGCTTTGCTAGCTCTTGTGTAAGTTCTTCATATACTTGTGAAAAGAGGTCTTCCTCAGATCGGGTTCCATCCAGGTACACTGCGGAGTGAAGGAGAGGGCAGTAATGAAGGATGTTTACCTCAGCACATGGCAGCTCTCCCAAAGTCCAACCGATTTAACCAAAGGACATAGAATCTTAACTAAAAGAAGAAATTCATAGTAATTAAAGATAAAAAAGACTGCAGCCAAGTATAATAGGTCAAAATTTTTTTTAACAGACAAATCTACACCAGCTGCTCTGAAGATTATTTAAACAAATGAGAAAGGACAGAAAAGAAGAAAGTTAAGCAGTACCTCCATATCACTTTAGTAAGCATGAAGTGTTGCCTACTCAAGAGTCACTTAAGGAACAATTCTTCAACTTATGTGTCCAGCTTGCTTCTTTTTTGTTTATTGAGACAAGGCTGGTCAGACTTGCTATGTACCTCTGGCTGGCCTTGAACTCAAACTTGTGGGAATCCTCCCGCCTCAGCCTCTGCTGAGGGATGGGATTACCACCATCCCCAGCTTGTGAAACTTCTTAAACCATGCACTGGGTTGGACTCTACCACATATGTACTGAATCAGAATTCTGTAGGTGCAGAAATTATATATTTTTAATAAAAATGGACAGAAGCAGTTTTGGAGAAATAAAAACCTTCAGAACCTGCTGAAGAAGGGGGGAACCCAGAGACTCCTGCTTAGAGTAGCCCTTCATGATCTTCTACGTGAGAAAAATGCTTCCCAAGTGCTTTGGTTTATGCACTCTAAGACAACTGACAAGGGCCTTCCACGCTGGCAGGAGCGGCACTCACCGATCTCCCAGGTCATGCTGTCCATTTCTTGCCTGTGCTTCAGGTACATGGGCCATACGTGCCCGTCAAAGTATCCAGGGGGGTCCGGGGGCTCGTAGACCCTTTTACTGACAAAACACCAAGGAGAACCACATCGCCAGAAACACACAGTTTATAAAGTAAAATAATAATGCTCAGGATAATGGGAAAATCCAAGATTAAATCTGAACAGGATTAACACACATGGCGATTTTAGACTCTGTGGAGGTTTAGAATGACAGTAAAATGGATTTTGTTCTGCAATCCAAAAATTAATTTTGTAATTCGCTATTATTCATAATTATCTTTTTTCCCGTAAGAGTCAGTGTCGATAATAACAGAGATACTCTGCCACGTGGGATCAAGCTCTAAACTAACTGGAGTTTTGTGTAGCTGTGGCAGAATATAGGTGCACTAACTTGAAATTATAATCTATACGGGATTGCTTCATCTGAAGATTTGAGGGAAATGAGTCAAACAGGTGGACAAAAGCCTTTCTCCTGGAGGAGTAATGTGCACTACTCCATGTGGGCACCACTTATTCTGAATGAGTCAAGGGTTCCCTGTTTGAAAACTGACCACACGCACCGCCTGATAATGCTGCTTTCTTTGTGTTTGGTACGTCATGGCTTTTAAATTACAATCCATACAGATGATTTTCAAACTTACCTCCTTCTCCTCTTGCACTCTTCGTATGGGATGGTCAGGAAATAGCTTTTATTCCATACAGTGTCAAGAGGCCTAAAGCAAGAGGATATTTAGTTTACATGGTTTTTATTCATTCAGAGGCAGTAATACAGTGGGGATGCTTACTTATAATTAAACAGAAGGAAACCTTCGATGATTAAAATGGGAATTTCCTCTGTCCTGCAGCCAGCTGTTGGTCCCAGAGAGCTTCCTGGATTCCCCATCCAGCAGGAAATGTCTGCCATCATTGTTTCCATGTTAAGCGCTTCAAGTACTTCAGAAAAACAACAAAAAAGTAAATTAATACAACATAATTTTTTGTGATGCAGTTTTATGTGATGAGTATATTCTGGGCTCAGTAAATGTCTAATATAGTGTCATTTATCTGCCCTTCAAAACACTGAAAAAAAATACTTTAGACAACCAATTTAAACTCTAATAGTGAGAATTTAACACTGGTAATACTGACATTAAGCATATATGAAACAGTTTTATTACGGAAAATTTTAAACACATATAAAAGGAGATAGTAAAGCACAGTGAACTTCATGTCTCTATTTCTAGTTTTGACAATCATAAACTTATGGTTAAATTTGCTTTATCATTTCTACTCTTTACTGACTATGAAAATTCTAGAAGACAATAGCTATAGATAAGTTTGAAAGACAAATGACATTCTATGGAAAAATATCCGTAGTGTATGTGACAAAGAGCTAATATTTTGATATAAAAGTTCTCTTATAAATAATTTAAAATATTATGACAAAATATGCCTTTTTTTTTTTTGTACCAGAGATGAAACCTAAGGCCTTGAGCTTGCCAAGCAGGTACTGGGCTGCTAAGATACAAACCTGGCCTAAAATATGCTATTTAAATGCTAAAATATATACATTTTCTGAGTTTACAACTGTGATTCTATAAAATGAGTCTGTAATAGTTATTCTCAAAGTACCTGCCAAATGCAGAATCTCACTGTAGAACCACCAAGCCAATCTACCAAGGGCAGAGGGTTTTCTTATTGGAATGTTTTAAAAATATGTTTTAATTTAGTTAACAGATATAAGACTATTAACATTTTCTCTTTGTTAAAGTGTTAGATTTGGTTAGTGACATGGTGATATTTTTCTAGGAGATGATCAGTTTTATCAAAGTTTTCTAATTTATTTCATAAGAGTATTCATAATATCTGCATCTCTTTAAAATCCACAGAACCTGTAGTCATATTACTTTTTCTACTTTTGGTATTTGGTATGTGCACCTTTTCTTTTCTTGCTCAGTTTGTGTAGGGATCACTCTGATTCACAGATTTTTATCCCTTGTCAAATTTGAAAACTACTCCACTATTACTTGAGTACTTTAGGACTAAACTTTCTGTTCTTTCTCAAATGCCAACGATATAAATATTAGATCTTTTATTATTTTCCACATTTCTGTTCTTCCCAGACTTTCTCTATTGTTCAGAATAACTTCTATCACTCTGTCTGTAAGTTCACTGTGTATTTCCTCTGTCACCTTTATTCTGCTGCTGAGCTTTAATTTAAATTAATGTGTTGTAAATTTTTGGTTATTTTAGCAGTTCCAAAATTTTTATTTTCATAACATTTTCGTTTTTGCTGAGGCCTTCTAACTTTTCCTTTGCTTCAAGCATGTTTGCAATTGGCTAGTGAAACCTTTTAATAACACTTCTTTAAACTCGTCAGATAATTTTGACATCTGTGTCATTGTGATATTGATGGCTACTGCCTGTTGTTTCCTTAATCAAGTTGAGATTTTCCTTGTTCTTGATGCGACAAATTATTTTCAGTTGTCCTGGAAAATTTAGGTTCTGTGTTATGAGGTTCAGGGTCCTACTTAATCTTCTGTGCAGGCGGCAGTCACCTGTTGAAGTGCAGCGTGCAGGTTCAGGTGAGGGTAGATGTTCAGCTTCTTGCTTGGCTCTGTTTGTATGATGCTGGGAGGGTGGACCCATGGGAGAAAAGGGAGCAGAATGCTGGTACAGCTTCTTTGCTGCTAGATGAGCAAAAGCTCAGCAGAGTCTTGATAGTAACTGACACCTCGTGAGGAAGGTGGGGTGCTACCTGCAAAACCTCAAGCTGCGTCAGCCACCTGTCTGCTGCCAGGTTGGCTAGAAGTGCAGTTCCCTGTCTGGCTTCAGTGACACCACACCTGAGGTAATGGGCAGGACCAATTCATCCCACCTTGCTGGTGCTGAATGGGTCAAAAGCCTTGGTCTCCTCTTGGCCCTACTAACATGCAGGAAGGTTTCTCCTTTTGCATTTGGCTAAAGGAGGGTGGATATCACCAAAAAGATCTTCTGTTCTTCCATCCACCCTTTTCCTGGTCCTTTTATTTTAGGGAGTGGGTTTCATGGTGCTTTTTTGTTCAAGCCTGCTCATAGTTCCATTTTGGACATTTCCCTAGCACCTTGACCTGAGTATCTGGGAGGTGAAAAGAAAACCCCAGGAATGCACAGCCAGCTCACTCCTGAAGTCCTGAGCCAGCTCACTCCCTGTCTTTTCATCTTGCAGTCTTCCTCTGCTTGTCTGTTATATTTTGTCCAAGGTTTTTGGCTGTTAAGAGGGAGGAACAATGAGATAGGGGGCTAATCCATTTGGCTAGAACCAGAAGTTCTAGTCATTTTGATGATTTTTCATTATCATTCAGTTAAAAATATTTCTAGACCATTGGTAAGTGTGTGCAGATCCTGGGGAACTGCTGTGTGGGCCAGAGAGGTATGGCTGCAGGCGGATCCCAGGCAGGGCCCAGCCCAGACCCAGGAGGTGCAGGCACACCCACCAAAGCCAAAGGCCCACCTAGAAAAGAGCTGCACAGATGCACAAGCAACAGCCAGAGGCCATACCATCGTTCACAGCCAAGGGCCTGCCTGGAAAAGAACTACACAGATGCACAAGCAACAGCCAGAGGCTCACCCCGATACCACTGATGAGTGCATGGAGCCCTGAGCCAAGAGCCTACACAGACAACAGGAACTGGGGGACACAGCCCCCAACCAACTGCCCTCCCAGACAACAGCTACATAGGGGCCCCAGCGAGAGGCACACCTAGATACCATCCCAAGTGTGCACAGGCCCCGGCCAGAAGCCCACCCAGACCACAGGTCAGCTAGGGATCCAGAAGGGCACCATTCTGAACCCAGGTATTATTGTACCGGGGAGCAGCAGAGAAAAGGCTGCTCAGTGGCTTGTTGAGAATTGAAGACCACCAGGTGAGCAAAAAGTCACCTCAACAAAGGCACAGCAGGCTGCATCTGTTGAAATGAGAAGATACAGAAATAAGTCTCAGAATCAGACTTCCAGATCACCTAATACAACCCCAAAGGGCAACAAGATGGAACAATCTGATATTCAACCAACTGGACTCCCTGAGCTGGCAACGAAAGAGGACCTAGAAAAAATGAAATCAAGCCGGGCATGGTGGTGCACACCTGTAATCCCAGCACTCGGGAGGCTGAGGCAGGAGGATCGCTGGGAGTTCGAGACCAGCCTGGGCTACATAGTGAGTTCCAGGTCAGACTTAACTACATAGTGAGACCCTGTCTCAAAAAACAAAAACAAAACAAACAAAAAGATGAAATCAGAAATAATCTCTCAGATAACAGCAGAGATTGTACCAATAGTACAAGACATGATTAATAAATCTAGAGCAGACACAAATTAAGAAAAGAGAGAAACTGAGGAACATGATGGAAACAAATGGAATTTATAAAACAGATGCAAACAGATTTCCAGATTTAAAACACCATTGAAAGTTTATGCAGCAGAATGAGCCAATGCAAGGACAGAATTCCAGAAGATAAGGATTGCAATTAATGACCAGGAAAATAAAAATTTTCTAAAAATAGTAAGGACCATGATGCAAGGATAGTTCAACATATGTAAATCAATAAATGTAATACACTATACTAACAGAGTCAAGGACAAAAACCATATGATCATTTCAACAGATGCAGAAAAAGCATTTGACAAAATCCAACAGGCATTTATAATAAAAACCCTCCAAAAAATTGGAATAGATGGTCTCTACCTCAATCTGATAAAAGTCACCTATGAAAAATGAACAGCCAATATCATACTAAATGGTCAAAAACTGAAAACCTTCACACTAAAATCAGGAACAAAAAAAGGATTTCACTATCAACACTCCTATTCAATATAGTTTTGGAAACATTAGCGACAGCAATTAGACAAGAGAAAGAAATAAAAGTAATAAAGACAGGAAATGAAGTCAAATTGTCATTATTTGCAGATGACATGATACTCTATACAGAAGACCCCAAGAACTCCACCAAAAGACTTCTAAACTTAATAACCAAATTCAGTACAAGGTCAACACACAAAAATCAAGCTTTCCTGTACACAAACAACAGACTCACTGAGCGAGAAATGGAGCAATCAATCCCTTTGACAATAACATCCAAAAACTCGGAATACCTAGGAATCAAACTAACAAAAGAAATCAAAGACCTCTACTCTGAAAACTACAGCACTCTGAAAAACAGAGATTGAAGAGGACATCAGAAAACAGAAAGACATCCCTTGATTCTGGGTAGGAAGAATCAACATAGTGAAAATGGCCATAATTCCAAAATTGTGGGGCTGGGGATTTAGCTCAGTGGTTCCGCCTCCTGCCTTGCAAGTGCAAGGACCTGAGTTTGATCCCCGGTACCTAAAAAAGAAAAACAAACTAAAACAAAACAAAAAAACACCAAAATTGCTACACAGATTCAATGAAATCCCAATTGAAATTCCAGCAGCATACTTCACAGACCTTGAGAAAACAATCCAAAAATTCATTTGAAACCAAAAGAGACCTAGAATAGCAAAATCAATTCTAGGCAACAAAGACAAGGTGGGGGTACCATAATCCCCAACTTCAAATATATTACAAAGCTACTGTGATAAAAACAGCATGGTACTGGCAAAGAAACAGACCTGAGGACTGGTGGATAGATTAGAAGATACTAAAACAAGTTCAGATAAGCTCAGCCACCTCATCTTCAACAAAGGAGCCAAACACCCTCACTGGAGGAAAGATAGCCTCTTTAATAAATGGTGTTAGAGAAACTGGGTTTCAACTTGGCAAAGATTAAAACTAGACCTGTATCTCTCACTATGCACTAAACTAAAATTGAAATGGATTAAAAATCTAAATATTAAAACAGAAACACTAAACCAGTGGAAGAGAGGTTAGGTAGAACTCTTGAAGACACTGGTGTAGGAAAAGATTTCATGAACAAAACCTCAGTTGCCTGTGAATTAGCACAATCAACAAGTAGGGTCTCTTCTTATTAAAAAGCTTCTGCACAGCAAGAGAAACGACCAACCGTGTGAAGAGACAACCCACAATGTGGGAAAAGATTTTTACCAGCCATTCCTTAGACAAAGATCTACTACCTAGAATATATGAAGAATTTAAAAAAAATCAGACCTCCCAAATTTAAAAACACAATCCAAAAACGGGCACCTGAAATGAACAGACATTTCTCAGACAAAGAAGTAGAAATAGCAAATAAACATGAAAAAATGTTCAACATCACTGGTCATTCAAGAGATGCAAATGAAAACAACACTGAGATTCCACCTCACCCAGAAAGAATGGCAGCTATCATGAAATCAACTCATAAGAAATGTTGGCGGGGCTGTAGGGAAAGAGGAACCCTGTGCCAGGCCTGGTGGGAGTGTAGACTGCTGCAAACACTGTAGAAATCAATATGGAGACACTTCAAAGAACCAAGATTGAAAGTCCCATCTGACCCAGCCATTTCCCTGCAGAGTATCTTCCCCAAAGAATTAAAAGAATCCTACCACAGTGATACATATGCACCCATGTTCATAGCAGCACAGTTTGTTATAGATAAAACCTGGAAGCAATCCAACTTCCCATCAATGGAGACTGGATAATTTTTTTTTTTTATAAAATGGAGTACTACTCAGCCATAAAGAACGAGAAACCAGAAACATTTATAGCTAAAAAGATGCACATTGAGGAGATACTCTTAAGTGAAATAAACAGGACGCACATGTGTAAATAGTGAATAGTTCCTCTAGTGTGAGAAACTGAAAGTGTCACCAAGGCTTTAGCTCAGTGGTGCCACCACCTGTTTGGCAAGCTCAAAGTCTTGAGTTTGATCCCCTGTACCAAAAAAAAAAACGAAACTAAAAGTGTAAATAATGACTAAAGGTATAATAGATAATGTGAAATAGGAAGAAAAGGTGCAAAGGGGAAGGGGAAGCGGGAGTGAGGGGAAAAGAAAGAAGGGAATGGAATATGAAAAAAAGAAAAAATGGAATCAAAGTTTTTGTAGATATGGAAGGGTGGAGGGGCTGAAGGGAGGGAAGGGGAATGAGGAAAAAATAAGAAACAAGATGGACTATTTAAAGGTGACAATTCCCAATGATGAATGTCACTATACTGTAAACTTTAAACGTACCAATAAAATTAATTTAAAAAATAATCCCAGCACTTTGGAGGCTGAGGCTGGAGGCTCATCGGGAATTTGAGGCCAACCTGTGCTACACAGTGAATTCAAAGCCAGCCTGAACTGCATAGTGAAACCCTATTAAAAAACAACAACAACAACAAAAAAAAAACAAAAAAAAAAAGAAAAGAAAGAAAATTAATTAATGAAAAACACTAAATGATGGGCCCCTGAGAGGCTGGTATTGTTGTCTTTTGGTCAGGGACCTGGCTACAAGGTTGTGTTTGTTTTTTTTTTTTAAATTACCACTGACTTTACAAACATGAAAATTTTCAGATTATCCTTTTGTTACTCATTTCTAATTCAGTATTCTGTATTACTTCAATCCACTGAGATTTACGAGGACTTAATCCATGCTCTTGCTTACAGTCTACGTGGGCAAATGTTCCAGAGGGGGGCAAAATGGATTCTGGGGCCAGGGACTTAGCTCAGTGGTTCTGCTGCCTGCCTCCCAAGTGCAAGGACCCAAGTTCCATCCCTGGTACCAAAAACAAACAAAAGAAAACAACAACAAAAACTGCATTCTGCTGCTGTTGGGTGCATGTTCTTCTACACGCCAGTCTGATCCGGAACAGTGACACAGCATATTTCTGTCTTTAACCCATCCTGTCTGTGCTGCTTTGTTAACTTCAGTGATCTAATATACAAGGGAAGTTCTGAGAAAATCTGACACAGTAATTACGGATTTGTCTGTTTCTCCTACTTCCATCACATTTTACTTGGTGTATTTTGGCTTATATTAGGTGTATACAAATTTTAGATTGCTTTATCTTCCTGTTTAATCGAACCACTTTTCCTTCTTTATTCCTAGTGTTAGTTTTCTTAAAGCTCATTTTTTTCCAGTACTAGTATAGTTGGTACCATCGTATATATTTTTCCAGGCTTATGCTGTGTACTTTTCTATGTCCTCATAGTTAAGTTTATTCTTTTAAGGAGCCTATAATTGGCTTTTTAAAAAGTCTTATTTGACAATTTTTAGACTATTTTAGTTCATTAACTTAATGTAGCTGTGGAGATAGATATTTGGGCTTAAATCTTACCATAATTTTCTGTTTGTTCATCATCCTTTGAATTTTTTATCATTTTTTATATAGATATCTATATATATATCTATATATATAGATATCTATATATATATATTTTTTTTGGGTGCTGTGGATTGAACTCGGGTCCTTGTGCTTGTGAGGCAGGCGCTGGATCAATTATATTTTAATGCATCTATTTCATCTGTAAGTTTGAAAGTTACAGATTTTAAGCTATTTTAAAGAATTTATAAAGATGTTGACACCACTTGATTTACTGTATATTTTGCACATTTACCTGAAAAGTTCAAAGTTTTTTTAAGCTAGATTCCTGGATGTGAGATATCTGAGCTTATGGCATGGACATTTTAAGGTCTCAGACAGATTTCGTCTAGGGCACATAGGAGTTTTTATTTTCTTAAGTCCTTGTCTTCATTACATAATTATCACTGCTTTACAGATCTTCCTTTACTTTGTAAGGGAGGGGGAAAAATAACTTGCAGTTCTCAGACTAGTTTGGAGGCTGACTTTTTAGTCCACATTAATTACTATTGCAACCTAATAGTTCTGTGAGTAGCTTCTTCACACTCTTTACATTATTTTTGTTTTTTGTTTTTTTGGTACTGGATTGAACTCGGGTCCTTGTGCTTGCAAGGCAGGCCACTGAACCACTGAGCTAAATCCCCGGCCCTCTTTACATTATTTTTGGGTGGGGGTTTCTTCTCACGTTGCAATAAGAAGTAAGAATAATTATTCTTCGCCAATTGTCGAAATCAGTTTTTCACTAACAATCTTTCACAATCTTTCTCACTAACCTTTGGATAAGAAAAGAAAAAGGATCAACTTGATACAGGAGCAGAAAATGAATCAAGGGTCTTGTCTTTTTAAAAGATCATGTGTCTGTAAGAACTGTTATGTAACAGTTCCCCTCTGAGGCCCTCAAAATTAAAAATAATAAATGTACTTTATGACTTTTTAGAGAGCTCCCTCTGTTGCTAGTCTGCATAAGTACTCAATAATCATCTTGTTAATGATAAGTTAATATGACCATTAAATATTACACAACCATACTATTATTTACAGGAAAAAAATGTTTTCTGATGGACTTTAATCCTTTGGCTTTAAAACCATGTTAGCTTAGGGCAAACCATGTTAGCAATGGACTGAATCCAACTAAAAATATTCCTAAGTCATTCTGAGCAGCAAAAAGAAAAAAATAAGCTTCCAGGTGCTTTGGCCACCATGAATTAAAGCTGAGAAGATGAAAGCTTAGAGTTTGCTCCAGATGAAATATTCAGGGGAGGCGGGGCATATACAGTTAGTCATGTGAGTCCTGAGCAAGGCTAAATAGGGCTCCAGTGAGCCTCTGTTGCCCTACCCTGGAAACAAAAATCTATCATGCCCATGTTTTCAGTCTTAAATAAAAATCAGGGGAAATGATTCTACTTAACGTGAGCCATCCATAGATAAGTGGATGCACCTTGAGAGTACAATATTAAGTGCAATAAATCAGACACAAGCATAAATATCACATGGCTTCCCTTGTATGAGACACTCAAAATAAAAGATAATAGGTCTTTTCCAAATGGGAAGGGGTACAAGAGATAGGGGGACTAAAGGGGATGGGGAAAAAGAATTGAAAGGAAAAAATAGAAATTGGGCTTCTGCAAATGGGAAGGGAAACAAGAGATGGATGAAACATGGGGAGGGGAGGGGTAGGGAATGAAAGAAGAAATAGAGGTGTTATGTGCATGTACCAGTTCCCTGAAATAAATGCAATCATTACGTACTGTAACCATGGACTAATAAAATATAAAACTTGAATAGTTGAATATAAATTAGACAGGAACCTACAAAAGCAGGTTTAAAGTAAGCTGTATATTTAAGGACTTTTAAGACTGTCTTCATAAACAATGAAATTCTCTGGCTTGAAAAAGAAAACGAACATAAGCGTGTAATGTTTTAGAAGCAAACCTACTTACCATCATACTGCAAAAATCCATTTTCATCTTTCTCTATCTCAGATGCTGGCTGGAGAAATAATAAAGAAGCCATCAAAACCGTGGGTAGGGCAAAAACAATAGAATAAGGAGATAAATGTTTTGGACTATGATAGCTTAAGATCAAAGATCAGCACTGACAGATGGCGCCACCTAGTGGTCAAGTGAGACTATTGTCACTGAGCCTGTCTAATACAAAAGGCTTTTTGGATGCAATTCAATTAACTGTCATTAAACATTTTTGTGTTAAATACATTATTTGAGAAGTTTTATCAGTACCTTGAAGAAGTCATCCTGAGATATGACAGTGCAGTTTGGGAGGTGTTTCTGCAAATTCTTAGCCAGTGTTGTCTTTCCACCATTTGTCACACTGTACCCAGAAGAAAAAGTAGAAAGTAATAATGCATTTAAAATCAGGAAACATTTGAAAATCATTTTTTGCAAAGGATATTGAAAACAATATTTTCTACTTAAGCATGAATAATTTCCTTCACAGATTTTTGCCTTTTCTGTTGGTAAAACCACAGGCATTAGCAGATAAAATGTACTAAATGGTAACAAAAAAGCCGGAAACAAAGGAGAAGAAAGGCCATTAACTACTAGTCAATGAACTGGGTATGAACACTTCAAAATACAAATAGTGTGTTGGGAGCAAAGCAATTGTTAGGCTAAGGCAAAGCATCGGAGAATTCATGGGCAACACAGTAGCGCAAGTGTGTAAAATTGCTGACGGTCGCCGATTCCGTCTCAATGTGTGGTGGTGGTCACTACAATCCCTCCTGTCATGAATCCACATTCCCTGAGCGACACTGCGGCTCCCCTGCACTCTGCACCGTCTGTGTCTCCTCATCACGTCAGCTCAGCTCTGAGTCCCTGGCCGGACTGTGTCCCAAGAACAAGCACCTGCCCGGCTCCTCCGTATGTCCCAGCTTCCAGCACCAGCACCGGCACTGGACCCACAGGACTTGTAATTCTATTCAGTCTTTTATTCAAGGAAGTTTTAAGCTGGGCTCAGCCACCTCCAAATGGGCTGTGGCAGCAAGCAGGGTGTCATGAACTTGAATGGGAAAGAAACTACATGTCTATTTTTGCTAAATTCTAACAGAAACACATCACTTCCTTTAACTGTAAATATAAATAATAAGCTAAAATAGTATTAATAGTACCTGTGACATTGTCTTCAATGGAAATTACACATATTTTTACCTGCACTGCAGTATGAGAGGATTATCTGGGGGTGTCACTGATGCTCATTATTATTTTAAATTTATGGCAGCTTTTAGATCAGCCACTGGATACTGTCAGCTATTATTATGTTAAGAAGTGCACATGTCACAGTGTTACAAACTTGTTACTAATACATTTATGACTATTTTAATACAACGGGGTTTGATTCCTGCATTTTATTTTGTGCATTATAAAGCACTGTTCTGAAAAGTTCAACATTTTACCATACCACAAAATATTAATAGTACAAAACTCCTGACTATATCTATTTGCAAGAATATGTGTTTAATCTCAGATAAGATCATTATCACAATGTTTATAATCTAGAAAAGAAAAAATAAACTATTTATTCATCGAAAGAATGTTGGGCCAGGGATTTAGCTCAGTGGTTCTGCCGCCTGTCTCACAAGCGCAAGGTCTCAAGTCCGATCCCCAGTAATCAAAAAAAAAAAAAAAAA